TCTCTCTCTCTTTCTCTCTCTCTCTCTCTCTCTCTCCCCCTTCCTCTCTCTCCCTCTCTCTCTCCCTCTCCCTCTCCCTTTCTCCGTCTCTCCCTTTTTCCCTCTCTTCCTCTCACCCTTTCTTACTCTCACCCTCTCTTCCTTTCACCCTCTCTTCCTTTCTCCCTTTCTTCCTCCCTCCTTCTCCCCCATCCCTCTCTCCCTCTCCCTCTCCCTCTCCCTTTCCCTCTTTCTCTCTCTCCCACCCTCCCTTTTTCAAACGAATGCGTGTAGACGTCTTTCTTGGTGTCTTTTTTCATCTTTATACTATATCGAATTCACATTGTACGGAGTAAAAGATTGTTTTATTTACAGTTCCTATATATGTATAAGAAGTTGCTTATCTATCATCATTTTTCTTATAGAGAGAGAAGATCTTTCGAAGAGTTATTATCATTCTAGTTTGTATCATATTATAGCGTTAAATATTATACGGTTTTGAATTGCAATATATTGAATAAAATCTTGTTAAATCCTTTTCTCTATATATCTTCTCTCTCTTTCATTCTTTCCCCTTCCCTTCCGTTCTCCCGTCCTCTCTTTCTTTCTTCCTCCTTCCTTCTCTCTCTCATTTTCTCCCTCTTTTTTTTCCTCTTAATCAAGAATCAGATTACATTTGTTGCATAATATAAACACGATTCAGCAATATGTAGTGGCTATTATTTAATTCTGATTTATTTTGTTTTTTCATATTAATTGTTTGCATAAAACATAGTAAAATTTCATAACTCTACATAATTTTATTATTGATATATATTATTGATTAGAATAACAACACGCTCTCAGTTTTTTGGAATAACTTTGTAACTTATTTTTATAACTTTCTCTGGCAAATTTTCTTTTATAATATGTATGTTTTATATAAGTATGGTTTTGTAAGTATATTTATAATTTTAATGAAATGCAATTTAATACTTTTTTTCAGGTTAAAAACATCATGCTACAATGCTGTACACAAACTATCGTTGTGAATTTGTAAATAATTATATCATATATTTAGAGCACTTTGATTCATTTCCACTAGCACTTTTGGTTTTTACGTGCTACATATTTTTTCTGTTAAATACAATATATGCAATAGCTAATCACGTATACATGTTTTACTAATACTAAAAATATTTATTGGATTTTAATATATCAAAAATACTTCATAAAAATTTTCCATGACAGATTTTGTGTAATATGCATACGCAATACATATTATACTAAAATTAAAAAGGAACTTTTTTTATTATTTTCTTAAGAGACCTAATATATTTTCGGTAAATATACATAAAAGATCATTCATCGCCAACTTTATCGCCACTTAGATATGTTGTAAGGGAAGTTGCTCTGAGTAATTCCTTGTAAAAATTAAGTAGGGGATGGCATTGATTTAAGAAATATAACAAATTAAAGTTTGACAGTAAAGGAATATGTCTAAAGTAGACAAAAGTGTTAAACACAATGCAGATCGATGAAACTCAGCAGGATGATTTATTTTGACTCCAGAATCGTGTTGAAAAAAGAATTTTCATTGGCACTCGTTCTCATTATCCTCGTTCTCATTATTCGGATCAAATGTATCATCAGAGAAAATGTCAAATTCATATTCAATCAATTCTTCCAATTGTTCTTCCAGCTCTTTTTCAGTGAACTCTTGATCAGATAGTGATGCTGCTTCCTTGAAAGAGGTAGAAAATAAGACAGTTGGAAGTGTGATATGTGATCAAGATAGCAAGCAAACTAAAGAGGCAATATTGGCACAGCATCCAATAGTCCTCTTGTTTTGCATATGCAGGATCGTCAATCATCTCCAATCTTTCTTTCTCTGTGTTTAACAGAACAAACAGATTATATTTGACATGAGCAAAGTAGCATGATTTTATCTGAGTCTTAAATAACTTCAACAATTTTTTGGGTGTTAAGATGCCTGTTCTTTCGTCATCAATCAAGATGCAAGTTCTCTTTTTGTCGTATTCTGTAAAAATATATTGGTTTTCAAATTTCCGAGGGAGCTGCTACCCTGAGTCCATTTGGAAATGTTCCAGACGAGTCTCAATGAAAATTTTTTTTTCAACATAATTCTAAAGTCAAAATGAATCATCCTGCCAAGTTTCATCAACTTGCGTTGTATTTAACACTTTTGTCTACTTTAGATATACTCCTTTGTGTATAATAATCTGTTATTTTTTGACTGGAAAAGTTTATTTACGACTTTCACGCGTGGGCGAAAGAGGGACAAAGCCTCTCCTTCTGCACCCCCAAAAAACCCTAACTCAACCTTTCTCTGAGAAATGAAGCATTATTCGGATATATACCCAGATAGCAATGCCTGATTATCAGATTTCATCACGTCATAATCTTCTGATATTTATAGAAATATGATATATCTCAGTAAACACTATTTATTGCAGTAATACTATAATGTAGAAGTAACAAATAATATAACACATGTTACTTGTTTGATATAAAACTGTAATATATCATACGTATTATTTTGCAACATTACAACAGTAATATAACAGAATATTAATGCAATATAATATTGTTATATGTATACGTTATATGTATACTTGCCAACTACACTTGAGTAATTCATATTCAAGTTTTTATAAAATGGATATAAAGCCTGTAAAGAACGGGCAGTAACATAAGATTTAAGCTATATCTTTTTTGTCAGTTTATTTTCTGATACAATCCCAATAAGGGATTCAGAATATCAAACAGATTATTTGAAATTGGGCGGATAAGTGAGGAAAATAGTTTATTTACTATCTATTTTAGAGAAAAAAGTCGGAATTTGTATATAAATTAAATCGCGAGTGTAATAAATTGAATATACATATAAATTATGTTATTTATTTAATTACTAACTCTCTATGATCCATTCGAACTAATTCTATATGGAGTATAATATGTATATTATGTAACAACGATATAACATATGTTATATTACATGCTATATTTATGAATGGGAAATAATAATTAACCAGTAATTTACCGGTAATATCATACTTATGTCTATTATTTGTAACATAACCCCCCCCCCACCCCGTTTTATTACTTTCATATAACATTAATATAACAGTGTTTACTGGGATGTTTTGTAATCATTATGATGATACATTTCATAAGCACAAATTAACATGCACATAAGAAAAACTGTGAGCTCACATAATGATATTACTTTATCAACTCATGATAATGCTGATTAATGAATATGCTGACATGTAAGTAACTTATATTATAATATTTGTTACTTTCACGTTATATTACTGCGATAAACATACTGTTTACTGAGATATATCATTCAGAAGATCATGAGATGATGAAATCTGTTCATCAGACATTGCTATCTGGTATACCCGAATAATACTTCATTTCTCAGAGAAAGGTTGAGTTAGAGTTCTTTTTGGGGTAGGAGTGCAGGAGGAGAAGCTTGGCCGAGGGGCTATGCACTAGTGACTGCGATGAACAAGTGATTTCAGATTGAAGTCGATTTCATGAATACTTCAAGCAATTAGAAAACCATGTGATTTAATGTGATTTCATACGATCCGATCAGTGATTTCTGAAATAATTTCTGATTCTACGTGATTGCATACTAATTTCGAAAGTTCAGAGATTTCATTCTGATTTCAAGTTATTTCAATGATTTTTCGTGACTTCGATTTTAAAAGATTTTTTCTAATTTTAACCGATTTCTCGTGATTTCGATTTTGATTTTATACCGGAGTGCTTCAATGATTTCCTGAATGAACAGCCCCTCGAGCTTGGCCCCTCTCCCGCCCACGCGTGAAAGTCGTAAACAAACTTTTCCAATGAAAAAGTAACAGATTATTATGCCGTACACAAATTTTACTGTCAAACTTTAATTTATTATATTTCCTAAATCAATGCCATCTCCTACTTGGTTTTTGCGAGGAATTACTCAGAATAATCTTTCCTTACAACATATTTAAATAGCGTTAAAATCGGTGACCTTTCATGCATATTTACCGTATTTTCACAAAGCTTCATATACTGCATTTAAACATTTATATCTTGCATTATAATAAATTGTATTCTGATAATTACATATTTTTAATATTAAAGCAAATATAAATTGAATCTAATTATTTCTAAATAAAATTGTTAGAAAAAAACAATACTTTTTTAAAAAGTTTCAAAACACATTGTAAAGTTTTATTATAATATATCGCCGCAAATTTATATAAATATATTATATCTGAAAAAGATAAAAAAACTTTATGATGTTAAAAGATAAAACGATATTCAAGATATAATAAATTTATATGAAAAAGTATTAAAAGTTATAAAGATTTAATATTTTTATTTAATATCACATAATAACGCGGTTGCGTTTGAGCTTTTTTGCACTATATCTTGAAGAAGATGACATGTTTATAAACTTTATTTATCCATATTTATTATATTATGGTGACTTTTTGGCAATATTATTAAATACGTGATGCAAATCTTTCAGAGCAATGTTTTATTAAACCGAAATGAATACACCCGAATGAATACTCTGCCGAATGTAGCCTCGATGTTTGGCAAACTGCAAGGTCCAATTGGCTCTTCTATCATCGGGGATCACGAAAATAGTGAAGCTTCTCGAACAAAAGTGGCATCTAATCAACGCAATTCTGTATATATCGGACAGGTAATAAGAGACGTGAAACATTATGGAACTATATTGTGATTAAACATAAAAATAAGAACATTTTGACGTAACTATGAATATTTCAGGATAAATTTATTAATTATCAGATTGACAGTGCACCTGATATCAATCCAAAAGTGGTTGATGTGAAAATAAATTCAGTGGCTGTAAGTAATCAAATATCGCAGAACTTAATATGATAATTTCACGATGATGAAATTTTTCTATCGAACCAAGGAAAATTCTTGTTATTAATAAATTTTCTTGCTTCTTGTTTATTATGAAATCACTTAGACTTTTTTTATTTTCTACGGTAACAATAAAATGATTTATTTTGCATACTGGATGTAACTTATTACAAAAAAAATATCGTAATGTATTTATCCCCAAATGTTGTATAATATTTTCTAATAACATATCAAACTAATAAACCTAATAAAGATTGTGAGAAAATAGTATTCCCGAAATATAAATTGTAATTATTGTAGATGTAAATTAAAATTATCGCGCGCAATAAAAGAAAAATACATATTTATAGTTTATAAATATATATAATATATATATATATAAATATAGTTTATATTTGTTATAATAATTATTAAAATTTATAATTATCATTAATTATCATTATAATGATCATCTATTTTTTTTTTAATTTTGTTATTAGACCTTTATGAACGAAGGTGTAGCATCATCTATGACATCGATCCCATCTTTTGAAAATTTGCTGAGTAATCAGTCGGGTGGTGATATAGTAACAACACCTTCCGGTTTTCCTTGGAGAGATCCCCTTGATCAGATATTCGGAATTACTACCAATTCACCTATACAAACAGCATCCGTGACATCGAATCAATTGGTGCGTATTAATAGTATATATATATTAAAGAAGCAAGTTGAATATTATTACAATATTAAAGAAGCAAATTGAATATTATTACAATATTAAAGAAGCAAGTTAAATATTATTACAATATTAAAGAAGCAAATTGAATATTATTATAATATTAAAGAAGCAATTATGTTAAATAATTGATTTCTTAAAATTGTTATATTTATAAAGAGACGTTAGGATAATAAAATAACAATTTTAAGTATCTGTTACGTGTCTTTTTCGTTTTCTCTATATTTCATATTTTCTGCAATAAATATTCTTCGTTTTATCTATAGAATGAAACAGCCGAAAATAATGTACCGATTATGGCACGTCCTATAAATCCTTTAGTGGAAGTCTTCACGCCGGTTATAAGTGGTGTAACCTCAACAAATCCTGAAAACAAACCAACAACCGTATCAATTAGTTCGATTACAACTACTACTCCTATTATCACTACCATACCAATTACAACTACTACACCTATTATCATCACCACACCAATACCAACTACTGCTGCTACTACTACACCAACTACCACTACAACAGCTGCAATTACAACATCTACTACTACAACAGCTGCAACTACAACTACTACTACTTCGACAACTACCACTCCTACAACGACTACGATAGGCCAAACAACAAGTAGTACATCTACTATTCCTCGGCTTGCAACAACTACTTCCTCCTTAAATGTTAATACTTTATCGGATGTAACACTACATTCAAATACAGTTCCGTCATCACCTACTGCGACAATATCTGCGGACAACATACTAAACGGATTACAGATGAATACCAAGGAGAACGTTTTTGGTACAACATTCGAGGATTTAACTTTCCTAAATTCATTGGTAAACCAACTTCATTTCTTTCTAATCTATATCAACAATTTTTTTAAATTTCTATAATTATTTACAATATAGGACACCTCGATAATGACATTAATCTTATATTAGTAACATTGTAAAGGTAAGAATTCTCTCTAAAATTCACGTTAACTTATTTGTTTTAATTAATCCGCGCTCGTATATAGTTTTCAAGATATAATTAAATATATGACAATTAAAAATTTACACAATTTTTCATGCAAAATGCGATTTCACAAAAATAAATGCATGAGCGATTTAGCCCTTCCCCCTATATTTTTTCTCTAAAACAATTCTAACTAAATTCTAATTAGGACTGTAGTCGTCATTTATTGTTTATTAAAAAGTTGTTAATAAATGAATATATGCATGCTAAGTTTGAATGTAAACTATCATAAAAGATTCAACATTGTGAACATACTTTATATAAATATTATTACACATGCACACACAAAGTACACTTAATATATACAAAAATTTTTATTTAGGATAAATCAAAATATCAAAAATTATTTAGGATAAATTAAAATATTAAACATTAAAGTAATTACACTTTACGGTTGATAATTGCTAGGGAAAAATTTTCTGTAGAGTAATACAATTCTGTTCACCTAGCATTTGTCAACTAGTATATTTAAGCGAGGAAGAATCTCTATATGAGATTGATATTTTCTGTACGAAGTAAAATTTCCTTCACATCACCTAATATTTTCGATGCAAAACAAAATCTATACATTTTTACGTAGATTTACAATTTTTCGCGCGAGATGAAGTATATTCCATATTGCGTGGTGCTTTTAGTGTATAAATATATGGTTCTATTGTGATTTATTACATAATTTATCATATGGTTTTGCAAACTTTTCGCGAGAAGTAAGGTAATCCTTCATGGAAGAAGAAAAAAAGGGCATTCTACGGTGCTTTCAAGTTCATATATAGATTTTAAATGTCTCTCTTTCACAATATCGGACAATATGAACTTCGAGCAAAAAGTTCAAAACGAATGAAATGAATAGGGAACTATATAATTATAGATTTCATTTCGCATTGAAAGCATTGTGTGATATAAACTCGACGACGCTTTGCGTAGATAATTGCAAATCCATGTATGGAACCGTACAATTATAGATCTCGTTTGTCAGTTTTTATTTTTTTGTTCATTAAAGAATATTCAAGCAGTTAAATCTTTATTTGTAATTTTTATTAATAATTTTTTAATAAACAATAAGCGCGACAGCTAAGATCTTTTAGAAATTACTCAGAATCATGATAACATATATCAAAGTCAAGATCATTGGAGATTTTGTTTACATACACTGATGTAAAGTTTACTATTAAATTAAATTAAGTTATATCTCGAGATTTATATTATGAGCATAAGTAATTAAAACAGGGTTGATCAGAGTATCTTTACCTCTATAACATACGTGAAAATCAAGGTGATCGGAGAAGTGTTCTTTATTAATGTCCCCTAAATAATCATAGTTATTTTTTCCATTAAGTTTTGAGAACATTAAAATATTTTATATTCTATAATAAATCATAAATAATATAATAATATTTTTTGCAGTTACAGAACAACAACGTTAAAACAACATCGAAAACGCTAAATGACATAGAGCAAATGTTAGCAAACAGGGTGAGCAAAATAAACAGTAATATTTATAATAAGCATGCCCGGGAAAAAATGGTCCATATATAAATATATATAAATATATATAAAGCAATATGTATAATTATATATGAAATATGCTCATATATACAAATATATATGATTATATATAATTATATATGATTATATGTATATAATTATACATGATTATAAATAATTATGTATGATCGTATCCCAGGTAGCAAGGTATCGTCATTATAACGTTGTTTTTTAGTCACTGGTTACATCAAATTCACCTTTGACGTAAAAGTGACGTTAAAATGACGGTCCTAAGTCACAGACCGTTGATGTCATATCTATGACGATAAAATGATGACATTTCTGTAATATAAGATGACGTATAAAATTGGTGAACCTTTGACTACTTCTCAAAATTTACCTTTCTTTCAATAGTAGAAATCCATCGGATTTTTAACTCTTTATCAAATAGAATAATAAACATAAAATTATTATAAAATATATTAGTGGAATAACAAATGTAATAAATATGATTTATATACATACATACATATACAGGGTGTCCCATAATTTGCGGATCACCCGCCATGTGCAGGTAGAGCACATGAAACCGAGAAGAAAAGCTCTTTACTATTTTGCGATTTTCGTAATAATTATTAAGAAATTAATT